CCTAAGAGGTCCAGTCTGATCTGAGTGTAATTAATTAACATCTTATTCACTCCTTGTGTTAATAAATATTTAATTAGTAAACTACTAGTATCACCACTCTATTCCTTTCTAAACATTGGTTCTCAGAAAATAATATTAGTAACTCACGTGCCAAGTCTCGCTAACACGCTACCTAACCATTTCTTGAGATATGTTATATTCTAATAAAAGTCTGGGTGGTGGCAGGCTACTGTTGTAAGTATAATAAGTTTTATGCTAAGAATGACATGGTTCCCGAGACTAATCCATGGTTTAGATATAATTAAACAAGATATACTTGAGAAAAGGTAAGAACATAGGAATTCAGAAAATACAATACTTTATGAAAAGAAATGAAGAAAAGAAAAGAACATTGACTTGGAAAAAATAAGCAGAGAAATATAAGAGCCACTTCTATACGAGTATAAGCCAGAATATAAGTAAGTAATTTAAATAAAAATATAAGTAAATAAGACAGGATCTTAATATAGGAAAGTCAAGGACCATGGTTTTCCGAGGAATAACAAACAACCGTTAGAGATTGGCATCTCTTTACTATAAAAATATAACAAAACTCTGACACCACTCAACAAACATCAAATAATTACGGGAGTCAAACCATTAATGGAAGCAAACACTTAAAGGAATCAAACAAATAATAGAATCGAACAATAAAGGGGAGTCAGCAATTAATGGAATCAAACAATGAACAAATATTTCCTACAGCAGTGGCCCTGGGGGAAGGTTCTGGAACGCGGTGATGCACACTCAGGGCAGGGAAGCGTCCACTTCGCTCCACACTCAGCAACGTCTTGAAAAGGCAGGAGAACACCGGGGCACCGACGGAATGTGATGAACTGATGGTCGTGGTATGCGGTAGTGGTAGATGACCAGAGAGTTGGCAGTTGATAGGTGAAGGTCTGGGAACACAGCCCACGAGTCAGGGGCCGGATACTCAAAACACCTCATAAGTTACGTTTTTCAGCATGATACAGTACCATATATTGTGGAAGCCTTACAGTACCATAAATTTAGCATACTCAAAATTTAATTATGGTTCCGTAAGACTTCCGTAAGTTCTCGTAACTCTAGTGTTTACCCTGTAAATTAAGTTCTCTTGTCGGACGGTAGATGTCAGTGTAGATGCTAGTTGGCCAATCAACGCTCAGTTAACAAAATCATCAACCAATCACAAGAGAAGGAGAAATCAGCTGAGAGCGACGCACGTAATATTATTTTGTAAACATGGAAGGACCACCAGCCAAGATGAGACGGCCTAATTTCAGTGAGGCTGAAGTATACGCTCTTGTGACTGAGGTAGCCAAACGAAAAGAAATGATTTTAGGGAAGTTGGACTCAAGTAGTTGTACACTTCAACTCAAAAACCAGCCTGGGGTGAAGTGTTAAATGCGGTGAATGCTGTTGGTAGAGTCACCCGCAATGTTACTGAAATTCGGTGGAAGTTTTCTGATCTTCGTGTTAGCGTTAAGAAAAAAGCAGCACAAGATAAGAAATATGCTGGTGGAACAGGTAAGTCATAATAGTGTTAGCGTGGTTATTGATTGACAATATGAAACAAACTTAACTATGGTTTTTCTGAGGCTTGGTACGATTTTACGTGTTTGTAAACTCAAGGAAGTAAGTAGTGTGGTGGCTCTCCATCGTGAATGAATACACATATTTTCCTTATATGAGCACATTCATTAAAAGAAATATCGTTCTTCGAAGTTTTCCGTGTGAGTAAATAGTAAAAACTTTACCGTTCAACCTAAATTTTTTTTTTCTTTTTACGTGGATTAACCAACCCAGGCACAGTCACTGACCCACTTCGGGGCCTGTAATAATAATTCTTTAGTACTATTAATAAAAATACCTCTTTATAAATAATAATATTAATAACAAATAACCATAAATACCGAAATGAAAACACAAAAAGTGAGAATCACTATACAGTATGTATGTTGTGTTGTCGATATTACGAGAAACAATTGCGACCCTGCAATTGTGTGTAAATGACACATTTAGTCAGATCAGCAACCTTAGACTTGCTCCTAATTTTCGTGATGCCATATGGCAGCTGGGTCTACCATTAGACAACACATTATGCTTCCAATATCTTCCCACCCGGTAGTCAGGGAAGTCTGTACTACTGTTAATAATTTCCCCACAACTTTTGGATTTTCTTATTATACCTATCATCTAGATTACACAATTTTAAGACACACTTGTCATTTTGTCGCAACTGACGTGGAACAGAGATAGTTAATATGAGTTTGTGTGGCAGGGCGGCGGAGGCCTCCCGTTGGTAAAGGAAGCTAGGTTAGGTAGGTTTGGTTACTGTTATAAACTACATATTAATAATTACGTTATTTCCGACGGTAATGAAGGTCATAATGTATAAGTTGCCATAGAATTCCTTTTTTTATGTCGTTAATTTTCATTCATCAATAGATTTATATTCATATTTGATATACATTAATATGTAAATTTTACTTTGTTAGGCTTATAGGCAAGGATGTTCTATCTTATGAGTTTACAACTAATACAGGTTGAAAATTTCTGGCTGCGACTATTTTTTTTGACTTATTTTACCATTTATTGTTTGTTACCTTAAATCTAATTAACTTTTGACATAGATAAAGGAGAATTTTTGTGGCTACAGCTACAATGATAGGTTAGGTTATAATGTTTGGAACTATTTCAGTAGATTCCTTTGTAACTATGATTTCTGCCAAATATAACATAGTTAGCGTATAGTGTATGTAACCACAGCTCACAGTAAGACAGTTATTATTTATATTTTCTCTTCAAGGTGGCGGCCCCCAAATTGAAATTACATACACTGCAATTGAAGAAGCAATTCTTCAACTATTAGATCCAGCCTCTATACAAGGATTCCAGGGGATGTTGAAAGTGAAGAACCTATTAATGGTAATTCAGTCAAAATACTTTTCCAACCCCCTGATATATATTTTGTTCTTTTCTGTCCTTCTTTTTATTTAAAAAACACTTTTGGAGACATTTTTTCACATCTTGATTTGGAAATACTGTACAGTATACTGATTTTTTATATAATTTTGAAAAATAACAACACTAGTAAGTTGGTTTCATTTCTAGCTTGTTTATTGCTTCCCTAAGTTATATATTAAATGTTGTTATAACTCGTATGTTAATGGACAAAATTGAGAAGTGCAAATATAAGAAATTTAACGCCTAGTTGATATTTAGATTTAAAAATATTTTAAACAAATATATTTAGATGGTCAACACTATTTTTCAAACCATTATTTTTCCTAAAAGCTTTTGTATATTTGGAAATACAGTGTAATATTTTAATTATACTCTTAACATAGACTTCAATCAACCTATTATACTACATTTCTTTCCAGAAGAAGAAAGAGAACCAACCCCCGGACCCTCAGGAGCTAGGTTTACAGCTACCGGTAGTTGTTTCCGAGAGGAATTTATGTTTCGGCCCGTTCAAGAGAAAGATGATTCTATAACCCTCATTCTGAATGAGGATATACAGGAACATGATATCACAGTACCCATTGTGCATTTAGAACCTGAAACTTCAGCACCTACAAACATTCCTGGAATTTCATCATCCGGAACATATGAGGTTGAAACATGTAGTTCAAGCAATACTCGTCAACCTATTGCTGCTACCACGGAACAGCGAAGTAGGTCTAGTACCCCTTCTGCCACAGCTGTTAGGTCAACTGTAACTGGTGATTCCACTGATGAAATGGGTTCATCTCCAATGCCAAGTACGATCAGAAGTGGCAGGAGGCCACGAACCTCTTCTGCCCGAAAAGATGAAGATCTTCTTCGAGAGATGCTTCGTGTTCAAACACAAATGAGGGACAGTTTTTTACAGCTTGTAGCGAACACCGAGTGCATTGCATCTGCAATGCTATGCATTGCAAGAGTTATGCAGTCGAAAAATCCTATCCAATGATGCTGTGTTTATGGTATGTGTATATGTAGTTGTTTACTTAGGTAAGTCCTTTACTTTTGGTAAATGTGATAATAGCGTGGTTGAAAAGTCATCAAACACTTATTATAAATTTTCCTTTGAGTGATTGTTATGAAGGAAGACGGCATGTTAAAAAATTGTGTAACTTTCACTTGCAGCCTATACTAGTCATGAAAATGTAACAGGAATATTTAGCTCTCCATAAGTTCATTAAAATCATGAAGTTAAGTGAAAGACACACATTTGTCAACTAATAACATGTGTTGCAGTGCTACTACGGGTAATGTTTACCCAAGTTTTGGGTAAAAGTTCCTACCACACTCAAAATTATATGTTTGAAAAGAGGCTCATGTACTTATTTTTATTTTTTAAAGGTTCCTTTATTTTGTAAGACGTAGTCAATTTCCAGTTCAACGAGTTTTATTTATTAGTTTGTAGTTTGCGAAGTATGATTCAAGTAGGTTGAAACAGAAATAATGGTGCAAATTCACCAACAGCCTACTGTAATCGCTGCTATTTAACACACATTAGTCTCCAAAGCGCAAGTTGTTGCATTGGTTCTTTCATAAGGATGTGCTGTCTCATGTTACATTTTATAGCTTAACAAGCAAAGAGTACTGTATTCTATTTTTTTCTTTATTACTTGTAGTAGTACAGTATTGGGTTATAAGTTTCTTTTAATTTACGGGTATTGATGCAGGTAATTCTAGACATGAAAATTATACTGTATTCCATTCTTAAATCTAAAAAATGGCAACAAATAACAGTAGTTGTATTATTATTTCACAACGATGTGGTGACCCATGTCAAATTGTGTAGTTTAAGATGCAAACAGTAGCAATATTTTTTTATTGTTTCAATTTCTCAAATATGTTTTATTTAAGGATTTTTTGTTTCACAAACTTTAGTGCCTTTGGTATTTAGTAGTATTAAAAGTATACTGTATTGGAATCAAATATGTTCAAGGATATAGTACATATACTATTAAGGTAAGAGAAAGGCATTTAATTTCTATAAAGAAGTTTATTTTATTATGTACAGTATATTGAAAATAAAAGTTAAATCAATGTACGCTTTATTCGCATTACCTCTGTATACTGCACTAAAAAATACTATTTAAACATAGAGGAAAAATGTATTGGTGAATTGATATTTGATTTTAATTCATCAAGTAAACCAATTACGGACTACATTGGCTCTGACTGCTTGGCCTGTCCCTGCTACAGCTGGATTGTCACTCTCTCCATCATCGTCGACCATGTCGTGGGGAAGTGGTACCCTTCTCATTAAACAATAATTGTGAAGAAGGAAACATGCATTTACAATTTTGGCACATTTGGAAGGATCGTATTGAAGTGATCCACCAGAACGGTGAAGGCATCTAAATCGTGATTTTAGGACACCAAAAGTTTGCACTACAACTACGCGGGTTTTGGTATGGCTGTTGTTATACCTAACTTCTCCAGGGGTTGAGGGGTTTCTGAATGGTGTCATGAGGAATGCCTCTAATGGGTACCCACTGTCACCTGGAATAACAGGAGTGATTAAAAAATAAAGACAAATGTACAGCCCAATAAGAAATATAATAAAAAAAAATTACAATGCCCTTGGGGGAATTAATCCCTCAGCCCACTCTTGTACCTATAAGCAAAAAACATATAAACTATATAGCTGCATTACCAAACAATGAGGCATAATGTATTTGCTTCCATATAAAAATAGCAATATAGCACAAATATTTTAACCATTTTTCAACAACCAACTGTAAGACAAATAAAGATATTAGGTGTGGGCCACTAATAATGTATGTGCCGTCAAGTGTCATAGCTTGGTTTAGGGAAAGTTATTAGGTTCAGCATAGGTTTATAAGGTCAGTGATGTCAAACTTAGTCGATATGCACGGTTAAACATAGCTGTAAAAGTGTACCGTTCCTTAATTCAACAAATGAATGATTTATCATGTACTGGGCAGTTAAGTAAGGTCCTCCTAGCATTAGAGCCTATGTTCCACCTAGTCACATTGATTAGCTGAAATAGGAAAAATCTTAACCGTGCCATTTAAACTTACCAATCAAATAATTATCACCAAAATCACCAGCCTCAAAGCGACGGCGAAGTAAGCAGTTGGCCCAGATGAAGGCGTCATGTTTACAACCTGGATACTTGGTGCTGTAGTTTGTGATCAACCCATCGGCATTACATACTACTTGTACATTGAGAGAGTGGTATCGCTTCCTGTTTACATATGTTCCTTCATTTTCAATTGGGGCTTTTATGGGTATGTGTGTTCCATCAATTGCACCAATGACTCTTGGAAGGTTTCTTATTCTGGCAAAACCTTGCACAGTTCTTGCTATTTGTACATTACCTGTTGGCATCTTTATTTCAAATCTTGCCCTTTCTGTGAGAATTTGGGTCACATCTCTAATAATTCTACTGACACTAGCTTGGGTAAGACCAACTGTATCACCAAGTACATGTTGAAAGGTTCCACTGGCGTAAAATCTTAAAGCAACTAACACTTGCGTGTGTATGGGAACAGCATGAGATCTTCTCGTTCTACGCCTTAAAAATGGATCTAACTCTTCACACAGTCTTAGAATTTCACATCGAGGAAACCTATAATATCTAATTAGATTTTCATCGCTTATATTTATGGGATCCAAAGGGTCCCGATACCTTCGTTCACGTCGTAAAGCTCGATCATGCAGATAAGCTACAACAAGTTCCATTGCAGGGTAACTGGAAAATGAGGTCCAAGTGTTACAGGATCAATCTGCAGGACAAAAAATTATGCAATGGCTTAGAAGTTTGTTACAGTATTGTTTTTATGTTGATACTAACTTATTCAAAGTTTTATCATTAGGCCTAGAATAGAAGGGTTATGCCTGTGAAAAACAAAAATTATGGCCTTAAGGTTTTGCCTGGCTCTCATCATTATAATTCAGCAACCATTGACAATATTACTGATTGCTGTCTTGGCAGTCCCGGAAGAAGTCTCTCTCTCTCTCTCTCTCTCTCTCTCTCTCTCTCTCTCTCTCTCTCCATTCCCCCAAACCCCTCAAAACCTCAATATTTCTCTAAAATTAGTTTTCAAGTTTACAAATTTTACTGAAAACAGAAAGAGAAAACGAGCTAAAAGCTATGGTGGTGGGCGAGGATAGGGGGTAAGGGGAGGGGAGGTGGAAGGGGAGGGAAGGTGGAAGGGGAGGGAAGGTGGAAGGGGGGTTCAATTGCGGCAGTGATTGTCCTGTACATACCAGACTCCCATTCGGAAAAAACAAACACATTCGGGTTTAAATTAACACCGTTGCACGATGGTGAAACTCCTGGTCCCTAGACGAGGTTCACGAGAGAGAGAGAGAGAGAGAGTTCACACATCTATCTATATTCCTGTATGCTCTACTTTCCACGTACTGCCTGAACACACACACACATCAGCTTACCTGCTTACGTGCCGTCATGCCTGCAGGAACCACTTTTAGTTACATAAAAAGGACCAGCCTCACTTTGAAGCAATTCCCGCTTTGATAGAAAGACCACTGGTGAAATGTGTCACTAGATCTGACATATCTTGACCTCGGGTCTAACTTCCAACAACCAGCCAACGTCAGTCCTACAGGAAATCCTCAACTTTCCACTGGTTTACTCACCTCCGGCTGTCTTAGACTGACTGACAGACATTCATTTCCATCACAACATTCTTGCCACCTCACTGATGAAGGGAATAAAGATATGTTCGTTGAGACTTACTCGATGTTGCCTGTAATGACATGCACGACAATTACAATAGTGGAATTAGTAGTAGTAGTAGTAGTAGTCTTTGTTGCCGTGATAGTAGTGGCCGTATCAATAGGTGTAGTATTTGTAGCAACAGTAGTTGTAATCGTTAAAAGTGGTAGCAGTAGTCGTAGTAATTGTAGCAGGAGCAATAGTAGTAAAGTAGCTGTAGTAATAGTAGCAATAGTTGTAGTAGTACTAGTAATAACAATATGAACAGCATGCTTTTCCTAACCTTTCATTACTTGTCAGTTAAAGAGAAATGTGTTGTGTCAGCGTCAGGCACCAAGCCGATAAACACCTTATAACGCACTTATGACAACTGACCACGACCACTACCAGGTAACTTGGCGGTAAAGATACGAGTTTCAATTAAGTGTTTTGAGTTGGCCGGCCATTAATCTTGCCCAGGGAAGCCAGGAAACGCATATTTATTGAGACAAGAAAAAGGACTGAGCTTCGGGGTTTCCAAATTGCATATTTTCTCTGGTACGATATGAAATGCATTTAAACAAATTTTCCACAGGATATTTTATATAGTCGGGGATATATTAATGGTTGGTATATATGAAAGAGAGGGCCTACACATTCCTAAATTGGACTGGTACACTAAAGCACCTTGTACGGGTTTAGTGAACTCATGAAAACCACAGTTTTATTTCACTAACTGACGTTTTAATAGGTTACCTTTCCCATGAATCTTTTTCTCATGTGTAGATAGATTTGATTTTATTATATATATATATATATATATATATATATATATATATATATATATATATATATATATATATATATATATATTTATATTTATTTATTTATTTATTTATTTATTTATTTATTTATCATGTCTTATTTTTTTAAAGTCTGTAATGATTCTTTTCCCGGGAATTTGTTACGGTAATTTACTCACTTAAGAGCTCTTTCAGAAGTTTCTGAATTGGGGTGGAATAACTGGAATTTTCTATTTGAAATCGTACTTATTTTACCAACTGACACGAATATGTTATTGAAATCTGACTAATAATTACGAGGGTTGTCTCCTGCAAGCACCTATCTCAATATCATTTACTAAATAAAGTGCTGACACATTCTACTAAGTGATTCAATATTCACGCTCGCTGTGACTCACTCTTACTGACCCTTGGGTTCAGCTAACCCTTCAAGAGTTTCAGTGAGTCGAGGACGTGACAGAACTCAAACTCTTTATATGAGGAGTTCCGGAGAGCTTCGGACAGCTGACTCGTGCGACAATAAGAAACACATTTCCAAAGGTCCATTGACAGCTACCAGGGAACACTAGATATCTTGTGGCAGCTGTCGAAAACAATGCTACCCTGTGAAGAATCTATATAACGGTTTATGTATATTTTCTTGACTAGTTTTACCGTGAGAAACAATGGTCACTCACTGCATGGCGTCGATTTCATTTCATTTCATCATTTTTTCTTCCGATATTTTAATATTTGTCCAGTTGTATCATGAAGCACTGCCCCCACCAAGTTAAGCTGTGTACACGGCCGCCGGTAATAGTGACGTTACCTTACATTAGCCACGAGGAACCAAAAATAATATCCGTTATCCGTTATCGGGAGCCAATTGAACATGTATGTAAGCATGTAGGGCAGTGGTTCTCAACCTTGTTTGCCCCATGCACTCCTTTCACCATATGTCAGGATGTCATTCCCCCCTCCTTTCCAAGATTGTCTGCCTCAAAAAGTGCATTCCAAATAATATGCATATAATACTGAAAATCCTTTATTTTTTCCATATTAGAATCAGTTTCCCCCCCCCCTGAAAACCTGAGGGGGGAAATTCCCCCCTGGTTGAGAACCCCTGATGTAGGATGTATGTATACTGTACAACTGAGTTCTTATGCCATGCGAGGATTTGTTTTATAGTTTGCGTAATGCTAAGCGATCCGAAACTGTCTCGGTGAAATAAACAAGACGATTTGTTAAGTACTGGTCTCACTGTTTGATGTATATATTAGAGTGTTTATCTTATTAATTATATTTTTATTTATATCTTAACTCTCATGTTTCTTAATTCACTGTAGTGTATAAGATCATTTGATACAGACAGACATTGATGAAAGTAGATCAAATCAGCTGAATGCCAAAAGAAAAGAAACTTACAAAAGATTTTATTTTTCTATTTTGTTTTGGTTTTGCATTGCCATTTTTTCTCCTCCATACCTACTGGCGGCTGAACAGATTGACGAGGGTAAAACCACAATGAAGGGGGAGTCATATCTGCACCTCTAATTCAGGAGGAGTTTAATGGAAATAGTGGCGTAGTTTGATGGTTTTCGGTCAGGAAGCTCTGTTGGTGGCCTTTCCCTGCAATGTTTTTTTTTTTGTTCTCGCGAATTTGACATGACTTGCAACACGGCCCAAGGTTTAGAGTTTCTTTGTATTAAAATATTATTAGTTTGCTGCAACGATTCAAATATTTCCTATTTTGTATGTATGTGTTTTTATCTATAGGTGTTAAAGAATGTATGTGTTTTGTTTGTAAGATTTTTTTGTATTTAAACTTGTGGCACCTTTGTTTAGCCCTGACTTCTATTTACACACCTCGATCATATCGCCCCTCACTCTGACGTCTCTCGAGGGAGTTAAAATTCAGATGCTTTAATCTGTCTCTATAATAAAGGCTCCAACTGCCTAGGATTAGTCTTGTCATCCTCCTCTGATCTCTCTCTCTCTCTCTCTCTCTCTCGGGAATTATAACACCCTGTTATATCTATAGATAGATAGATAAAACCAAAGACCCGAACAGTGATTAATACAACACGCCCCCGGAACAAGAAAGCTTTTAGTGTCGCCTCTGTTTGTGGACTATGTATACAAAATGGTGTTTGTATATCCCTTTATCTTCCGTCTTCTCGTCCTATACGGCTTTGTGTATATAATAAAACACCGATAAGCGGTGAGATTGTCGGCCAGTATGGAGCTCTGATCGGCAAACTTTCAACATTAAAACTAAATAAGTTCATTCGGCCGAAATAGCTTTTGCATCTAAAACTCACTTTGAGAACTGAAGCCTCATAAAATGGTGTAATGCCTTCTGAAAATTCTCTCCCACGCACTCCTTCCAAGATGTGTTGGGGAAATACACTAGTGTGGAGACCTACACGCACGCCCGCCACACCCTACTGTACTGTATATATGTATATACTGTTTTAGACTAGGAGCACAAAGTTGCAGTTACAGAATTTGTTAAATTGATGTAAAAGTTTTCACATTCATTGTATGTTCATTAACAGTGTATCATCGGTAATAAAAAAACTTTGTTTATATTCACAGTTATTATTTCAAAATATTTTTTTTTCTGTTCAATAACTATTACGAAAACCCAATGATAAACAAAATAGAATTATTATTTCTCCATCAAGTTTGTTTTGAAAATCACCAAAAACTGTATTGTTGACAAAAGTCTATTTATACATGAATGCATCTGTGAATTCATGCGCAGGATATATATTTTTGTTTATGTATTATATAAGATTGGTATAAAAAATTAAGTAAATTAGTAGAGGGAAAAATTAATCAATAAAAAAAATTTAACTGCAAGTTTATAAGACAAATAAATAACCCAGTTAGTAAGGTGATGCATCAGTTCGTTGTCTTTATTACCAGGACGACGGTGATCCCCCTTAGGTGCCTATTGTGCTGAGGTCTAGCTAATACTGGGGTAAATACTTTAGCTCTTTAGTAGAAGAGAGTCAAATAGTGATCTGGGCTAAGAATGATATGGCAGTGGCCTTCCTGTCCCTCACTCATTTCTATGGCGTGTCTCTAACTGCGGGTCTCCCTCTCTGTTTAGTTACTTATGTTTCTTAAATTTATTTTTGTCTACCTGTCTCATTTTTATTCAGTCTCCTTATCAACCCATACGGCTATCTAGGTACCTGTTTCTCCCTGTCTCTTTCTGTCTTTTTCTCTTACTGTCTTTTATTTTTTTCCCTGTCTATCTCTACAAAGGTACAGTATTCCCCTATTTCTTTCACACACACACACACACACACACACACACGCGTGCGCGGATTAAAAATAAAAATAAAACCTTTGCTTCAGAATTCTTACGACAAATTGAGTATAATGACTCAACGCCCACTCCCTCAATTCGTT